CTTATAAGAGGCATCAAAGAACTTTCTGCCCCACCCACCTCACCGAAACCCCATATGTGAGCACAAGTGAGAAAGCAAACATCTGCAAGATATGAAGAGAGCCCTAACTAGGGAAGCCCAAACTAGGTTTCAAACCTCCCAGCCTCCAGAACTGTGAGAAAATAAGGTTTGGTTGTTTAAGCCACTCAGTATTTTGCTATGGCAGCTCAAGCAGATTAATACAAAGATGAAGTGTGATTCAAAAGAGTTAAAGGAGAACAATAGGTACTTTTTAGTACTTAAAAGACAAAGTCACCCCTTTACACATGTACAGGAAAGTAGGGTGTTTAATCTTCTCATTGTATAGACAGGAATACACTAACTTACTCTCTCTTGGATATCTTCCGTGTCTGTCATGAGACTTTTTTTGTTGGGGGGTACCAGGGATTAAACTCACGGGTGCTCGGGCACTGAGCCACATCCCCCCTATTTTGTATTTTATCTAAAGACAGGGTGTCACTGAATTGCTTACTGCCCTACTTTTGCTGAGTCTGGCTTTGAACTCTCAATCCTCCTACCTCAGCCTCTTGAGCTACTGGGAGTACAGGCGTGCACCACACCACCTCATGCAGATCTAACTCATTCTTTTTCTGCAGTGATACATAGTATAGTATATGATAATTTAATCAGTCCCCAATTTATGGGCACTTAGGTTGTTCCCATTTTTCACTGTTAAAAAAATACATCATTATGAACATCCTTGAGTACTTGTCAACAAAGTTTTGTATGACAGTAATACAATTAGAATTGCTTACCACAGAGGTTATAGAGTTTAAAATGTTGATAGGCTCAAATGGGCCCTCTAACATGTACTTATTTGTACTTCCAAGGGTTAACCAAGTATTTTTGGCTCACCTTCCCAGGTGTAGAGTTATAACAGCTGTAGATTTATCAGAAACAACTCTTTCTGATAGAATCCTCAAACACTAAACACCCCATTTCCACTATCATTCTCCACCCTGACCCCCCAAAAAATCCCAAACAAAACTACTGCTTCCCCCAAGCAGGGCATAGTATTATGGTTGTGTTTAAAAACAATTGCAGATCCTGTAAACCAGGAGTGAGATGTGCTCATATCCACTGCTACTTCTTTATCTGAAAGTGCCATTACTTTCTTCCACAGTCTGCACAGGAAGGTGGGGATTGATTTTGCCAAAGTCAGTTGTCTGGAATTTTCCGAAGGTACTGCTGGTGAGCAGTAGATGTTACTTATGGAACAGATGAACTATTGTTGTGAGTTAGACCTTTTCTAGCATCGTCATCTATCAGGCCCAGCATGGGTCTGAGGGTATGAGAGTGACATAAATGCAGCACATACTATGGTTCCCTGAACCTCCAGTCTGAACTTTCATACCTAAGGTTCTTGCCATCAATCTTCCTTCCCTCCCTTACCCTAGTTTTCCTGAATCCTTCCTGATGACAGATCAATTTTTTAAAGTACTGACTTTGTCACTTCTCTGCTAATGGTCCCTGTTGTGTCCTCGTTGCCTCCAAATATTGTTCCTTAATAATTCCAGGTCTTCATACCACTTGCCAGATGCCTACATACATTTTCATTCTTTGCACCTGGTAGTCTCTAAGGCTCTTTGCACACCACAGTGGTCCTGGAACTTATTTTATACTTCCCCTATCAAAATCCTGTCCAGCTTGTCAGGCCCATCTCAAATCCTCCTTTACTGTCCCTTTTCTGATCACTACATAGGACTTTGCATTAGAGTTCTTTTCTTGGTGCGTGTTTATGGGTCTTGGATACCTATACATAGTGCCTGAATAATTCTGCACCCCCTTAGAGAGCGGGATGAGAGGCAGGAATGCTAACTTACTAGCCTATTCACTCAGAAGGAATGAGAAGACTCCTTTGGAAGGGCTGTGATGAACGAACTTTTTGAATACAAGCACTCATACAGAAAATTTTTTAAAAAAATATGTATGGGCTGCACTTACTGATTTTTAAATAAAAACTTAAACTTCATTGAACCCTAAGGGAAAATATTTCAGCTTTATTGATAGGAAAAGTATTAATATGTTTTCATCACTAAAATGGCAATGTTTGTGTATATTTCAAAAGTAGCAATACAAAGGCAGATTTATGCTAAATTATGAGATCTGGGAGCTGGTGGCTTATGAAGCAAACATTAGAACCTGGGTCTGGAAAAGAATCTGCTTGAGACTCTGTTCTAACAAGTTTAGAAATGAGAATATTGAGGTTCTTTTCTAGCCTTTAGACAACCAGAAGCCTTGTTTTAGCTGAGCTTTTTTCTGTATTAACACAGCAGTTTCTCTAGAGTCATAGGACTCCGTTACTTGTCTTACCACATCCTTGAGTTAAAAATCATGTCTTGCACTCTTTTCATTCTCTTCTGGTAAAGGTCCAGCAATGATGTTTTTTGCATAATAGGCCATCAAGAAATTCCTGTTTATGATGATGAAGAAAGAGCTTGATAGAAAGTGACTTCATGTGTTTAATTTTATTTAAAATAACACACCTACTTAGTAGAAGTCACACTCAGGAAATATTCTTTGTAATACGCCCTCATAACTCAGGGCTCTAGCTCCCTCCACTCACTCACCCAGCTGGAACTGTTAGTAGGTGTGGCCCTACACACAGGCATGTACCTGCCTGTGCTTGGTGCAATCTGAGATGTTCTCAAAGCTATTGCTCATGCAAATATTCTAAAAATATGTTCCCACTGCCCTAAAGTGCTACATTAAATTTTCATTATTACTATTTTTTGGATTAAATAAGGACCCTGTTACTAGGGAAGAAAAATACACTGTTATAATCACCTAATGATATCTTAACTCTGAATATTTTATCTGACAGGCTATCTCCATCCATTGCTCTCAACTCTCACAGCATTCAGGATATATACCTTTTATGATTGCATTCACTGTAGTGTATTGGAATGATCTCTCTCCCTATTTCTCTAAGCCATTGTGATCTGCTTCTGACTATCTCCAGCACCTGGAGATATGTCTGGCACATAGAGGGCCCTCAAAATATTGTTGAACCAAACTCCCCACTTTTTCCTTAGGCAAGTCCTGGAGAATTCTAAAGACTGCCTAAAAAAGGGAGCCAAAAGCCAGGTGTAGTGGCGCACGCCTGTAATCCCAATGGCTCAGGAGGCTGAGGCAGGAGGATCAAGAGTTCAAAGCCAGCCCCAGCAAAAGCAAGGCACTAAGCAACTCAGTGACACCCTCTAAGTGAAATACAAAAAAGGGTTGGGCATATGGCTCAGTGGTCAAGTGTCCCTGAGTTCAATCCTGGTTACCCCCTCAAACACCCCCACCAAAAAAAAAAAAAAAAAAAACGTAAGCCAAAGGATGTACACAATCAGGTAGTAAGGAAGAGTTCCTTCAAATGTCCTGCTTGATTGGGTTCTGTTGGCAGGGAGAGGACTACTTGGCAGACTTGTTTTTGTCACACTTTGATTAACCTTGACCATGGGCTTACTATGAAGCTGGGTAAACTCTGGCTTCTGTAAGATGAAGAGAATTACCCCCATTAATTAAGAGTGTATCAGGGACAGAACCAATCCTAATCTCATATTCTAGTGTTCCCAGCCCAGAGACTGAACCTGCTTTCTGAGGATAGATTCTGCATCACATGCATTTTTTGTATTCTCAAGAGTCTAGAAAAGAGCCAGGGATATAGTTCATTTCTTAGAGTGCTTGCCTTGCATGAACAAGGCCCTGGGTACAATCCCCTATGCCACAAAAATAAAATAAAGAAGACTAGCAGAGTCTGGGAACTAAAGCGTGATTGTTAACAGTTATGTAGTGCTTACTGTGTGCCAAATACTTCTATAAGCATTTTATATATGGTAATTCATTTAACACCTACAACCACACTAAGAGGCAGATACGTTATCACTTCCATTTTGTGACTTGCCAAAGAGCACATAGTTCCAGAGCCTGGGCAATTCATCCATCCATCCATGCATTTCATTCTGTGGCACTGGGAACTGAACCTAGGGGGCGCTTTATCACTGAACTACATCCCCAACCCTTTAAAAAAAATATATTTTTAAACTATATCTCACTAATTTGCTGAGGGTGGCCTCGAATTTGCGACCCTCTGTTTCAACTTCCCCAGTCACTGGGATTGTGGGTGTGCTCCTCTACGCCTGGCTCAGAGTCCAGTGCTTTTAAATACCTCCCCAGTGCATTTAAATAGGAGTGAATGACTATATATCTCCTTGTACCATATTTTTAATTTTTTTTTTTAGTTGTTGATGGGCCTTTATTATATTTATATGTAGCACTGAGAATCAAACCCAGTGCCTCACGCATGCTAGGCAAGCGCTCTACCACTGAGCCACAACCGCAGCCTCATCCCTGCACCATATTTTTACAGCAGATTATTTACTCTTTCTTTAGCAGACTGTGAGTCAAGTCCTCTCCCACTGGACTGTCCCTAGCCAGCAGGATCATTTGTTGACACCCTCAGTCCCCATCGCAGTATTACTTGTGAAGCCACAACAAGGCTTCGGTGCATACCTGTGGCCACCAGAGGGCATCGCGAACACACGCCCTCCCCCTCCCTCTTCCTCCGCGATGGGAGAGAGGCCGAGACGGAGATGGGCGGAGCTAGCGTTGGGCGGAGCCCTCCAGACGCCCACTGGGGGCGCTATCCCGGCGGGCTGCGCGCGCGGCGGCGTTTGAATGGGTGTGAGTGGGGCCCGGCCCTGCAGTAGAGGGACGCTTTAGGCTGTCCTGCGGCAGTTTGCCAGCGCCGGCGCTGGGGTGAGGCGCTGCGTTACCATGAGGCGCCGGTAAGTGACGGCCAAGCCGGTGAGGGACCCCGCCCGCCGCTGCCTGAGTGGGCAGCGCCTCTCCAGCTGGCCTGGAGCTGCCCGGGCCCACCTGCAGGCCCCGCGGCGGCCTCGCTCGGCCGGGCCCGACGGGCTGCAGGGGCGCGGGGCGGGGCGCGGGCCGGGGTGCGGCCGCTGACTCGCTGTGGAGCACTGTGGGCCTGCTGGAGGTGGAGGAGGCTCGGGGCCGCCGGCGCTGAGACGCTCCGGGCTAGGCCCGAGGGGTCTGGTCGGGGAGAGCCTTGGACGGAACCTGCTGTCACTTATTTATCTTCGGGTGGAGTCGACATCTATACCCCGGGGAGCGGGGAGGACCGGACACGCGTGTGAGGAGAGCTGTTTGTGGACAGGTTTTCCTAGAGCCGCCTAGGCCTGGCCAAGGCATTTCCTTATTTTCTGATGTGTCTTTGGTTCCCAGACAGATGAGCTTTTGTTCCATGGAACATAACTGCATAAGAATTGCTAATTGCAACTTTAAAAACCTCCATTGTGTTTTCTGAAAAATAGTTCTGTAACAGTACCTAGACTTTACCTATTAAATGAGTTTACCTATGAAGATAATGAAGAGTTGATCCGTTTTCTTTCATAAAGTTCATTGGAAATAGGGTATCTATGCCTTTTTGTGTGTGTGTGTGCAGTTTCGGAAAAAATGGGAGATAAATTAATTCTGTGTTAATCACCAGTTTAGCACTTGTGAAAATCTGAGAAATTAGTTTACCTAATAGCTTAAACTTATGTATAAAATAAGCATCCTGGGATATGTTTGTGTGAGCGCGTGTGTATGTGTTAAACCTACTTCAGACTGAATCAGCACTTTATACATTGAGGCTTTTACTTGGCTAATAATTGGCAGCGAAATAATAAGTAATATATATTTTGCATTTTCTATGTGTTAAGCATTGTTTTAAGAACTTTGCTTTTGGTCTGTTAGTGATATTATCCCCATTTGACAATGAGGAAACTGAGGCATCCAGAAGTCAAGTAACATGTACAGGGTTATACAGAGAATGCAGCTGGAACCCAAGCAGACTGGATCCAGGCTTTTAACTGTGCTGCTATGCTGCCTCCTTTATATGTGACTCTTCATTTATGTCAACTTTGGAGACATTTGTGAGAGTGTGCCTTTGTGTACACATAAATTAATTCATATAATATTTAGTTGAGTTCTTTGCTGGTGTTGACCGTACATGTTTTGTGTGCAGACAAAACATTGATTAAATCAATTTAACTTAAATGATTTGATCAATATTCATGTGTGTATTGTTGCTTATAGTTTTAATATCTTTGTATCATTTCTCAAGTGTAGAGAACAGTCAGAAGCCTGTATATTCCTGCTGGACCCCAGGGTGCAAACCTCTAATCCCAGATACTTCAGAGGCTGAGGCAGGAGGATTGCAAGTTTGAGGCCAGCCTGGGCAATTTAGTGGGCCTGAGGTGTAGCTCAGTAGCAGAGTGCTTGCTTAGCATGCCCAAGACTGGATTTAATTCTCAACCCCATGGAGGGGAAAATAAAAAAAGAACAATCACTTCATAGGAAATCAACAGTTTGCTGGGCGTGGCAGTACACACCTGCAATCCCAGCAGCTTGGGAGACTGTGCAAGATAACTGCAAATTTGAGGCCAGCCTCAATAATTTATGAAGACCCTGTCTCAAAATATAATAGACAGACTTGAGGGGTGTGGCTCAATAGGAGAGACCATCTGGGTTCAACTTCCAGTACTTGAAAAAAAAAAATTAGTAGTTTATACTTATTTACAGCAGAACTTTTTAAATTGTATTTTTAGTTACTAAACTTTTGATTGCTTCTGTGCCCAGCACAGTGTTAGACCCAATTAATTGTATAAAAGAAATATTCCAGGCAACAAACTTGAGGGAGGTTAGTCTAGTTTGGGAGATGAGATTAACAGAAACAACAACAAAAAAAAGAACATGATACTATTCATTAGTACATTGGCTATATGCTGAACTGAACTGAGTAAAGCTCAGCAAAGAGCCAACAATTGAAGGATTTATGTAGGGCATTGAAGAGAAAAGTAGATGGGGGATTTTAGGAAGCAAAGTATTCAGAGATTTGGAATTGGGAATGAAAAATTTTTTTTTCCTTGGGAACAGTAAGTATGGTCTATTTGGAAAGTTATTGTTGAGTAAGATTGTGTGAGGCAAGACTAAGGAGTGTTGTATAAGACACACATTTGAAATATATGTATGTAAGCAAAGAGCAAGGTGTGATTTTGAAAGTTTTAAAACTTTGTCAGTGGTTCTCAGCTGGTGCATTTTTCCCCTCCAGGGGACATTTGGCACTGTCACAGTGTGGGGGAGAGAATGCTATTGGCAATCTGGCAAGATTGATAAACATCTTATAATAGGACAGTCCCTCCATGAGAAATGGTTACTCCAAATGTTGGTGCTGAGGTTGAGGAACCCCATTTTGATTGTTTGTATGGTCAGCCTCTGCTTGCATGTGCTTATAGATAAGTATGAATGATGAATTTCCAGAGCATGAGTACAAGTGATAATGTATCTTTTTATTTGAAATATAAACATTTTAAAGGAAGAAGTATTTTTTAATAACTTTATTTAATTTATTTATTTATTTTATGTGGTGCTGAGGATCGAACCCAGGGACTTGCACGTGCAAGGCGAGTGCTCTACCGCTGAGCCACAACCCCAGCCCCAGGAAGAAGTATTAAAACACAATAATTGATTAACTATAAAAAAACAATGGAGTTAAATGTCATTATGGCATCTCCAAGGTTTTATATCCAGAGATGCCATAATGACATTTAAAGCTAAAAGGAGAATAGAACCACTAAAATAAATTAGAATACTTGTGGTAATTTTTATTTTAGAAATGTAAACTGCAGGGCTGGGGATGTGGCTCAAGCGGTAGCGCGCTCGACTGGCATGCGTGCCACCCGGGTTCGATCCTCAGCACCACATACAAAGATGTTGTGTCCGCTGAAAACTAAAAAAAAAAATATATATATATATATATTAAAAAATTCTCTCTCTCTCTTTAAAAAAAAAGGAAGAAAGAAAGAAATGTAAACTGCAGTTCACAGAAACCTATAATGAGATTTTAATGAAGACCCTTGGTATCTGTCAACTTACATTTTTCCTGAACCTCCTAAATTAGTCGTCATCGTGGTTGTCTTCTTCTTTCTTCTCTCTTCCTCCTCCTCCTCCCTCCTCCTCCCTCCTCCTCCTCCTCCTCCTCCTCCTCCTCCTCCTCCTCCTCCTCCTCCTCCTCCTCCTCCTCCTCCTCTTCTTCTTCTTCTTCTTCTTCTTCTTCTCTTTCTTCTCTTTCTTCCTGTTAAAATCCTAAATAAGGTTTCAGTTCGTTGGTCATGAATCTTCACTTTGAAAGCTTAAAGGACTAATTTGATTTTTTTTAAAATGTACAAAGCACTACAGTTTTACGAATACGAAGTGAGTGTAACTTACTTCTTTTTCAAGGGAGTGGGCATTATCTTTTAAAAATGCTTGACCAGGGGTTGGGATTGTAGCTCAGTGGTAGAGCATTTGTGTAGCATATGTGAGGCACTGGGCTCTATCCTCAGCACCATGTAAAAATAAATAAAGGAAAGATAGGGTTGGGTTGTGGCTCAGTGGTAGAGCACTTGCCTTAGCATGTGTGAGGCACTGGGTTCGATTCTCAGCACCACTTGAAAAACTGAATAAATAAAATAATGGTATTGTGTCCATCAACAACTAAAAAAAAATTTAAAAAGATAACATGTCCATCTACAACTAAAAATTTTTTTACAAATGCCAATCAATATTACATTGATCTTTTATCAGTCATTATACTTGGTTGCTATTGTTTGAATGATCCCATCAACTCACTTAATTGCCATTGTAAGATTATTAAGAGGTGGGCCTAATGTGAGGTATTTAGATCATGTGTGTTGAGAGCCACAGCGAAGTCGAAGTCGGGATGGCGCCTGGCATTTTGCCAGAAGGAGTGGTTGAGAGGTGACGCCAGGGAGCCATTAAGATGATAATTAAGTTAACCTGTGTATAATTGCTGTGACTGGAGGATGCTGGATTGAAACAGGCTGTGTATTCAGTTGTATATAGACCCCTGCTGTCCAGCAATAGGGCGGCTCCTGCTGCCTCACGCAACCGCTACTTTTGAGTTCTCATGGAGTTCCCGTTGAGCCTCGTGGAGGGCTGGGAGAATGCCCGGGGAGTGCGTGTGAAGTGCTGGTGAGAGTTCGGGCAATAAAGTAGTTCCTGTTTGAACCTACAAGTGCCTCGTGGCGGCTCGGTTATTTTGTGGTCAGCCAGACTGCAGCACATGTAGACTTCACTCACATGAATGGATTAATGCCATTATTATGAGAATAGGTTAATGATTAAATTCTGGTGAATTCTGACCCCCTTTTGCTCTCTTGCTTACTTTTTTCCTCATACACTCTCTCTTAACTTTGTGTTGCCTTCCACCATATTATGATGTATCAAGAAAGCCCTCACTCCATGGGGCCCTTTGATCCTGGCTTTCCCAGCCTCCAGAACAACAACAACAACAACAAAAATTCTGTACAAATTACCCAGTCTTTGGTATTCTGTAATTGCTGCAGAAAATAGTTGAAGATATTAATAATATTTGTTAATTTGGTGCTTTCTGGAAAATAAATTTAGGAAAGTAAGTTTTTTAAAAATACCTTAAGCATAATGTGAAAAGTGTTTACTAGAAGTATATACTTTTCAAATTACATGGAGTATAATTTGACTTTTCTTTTCCAAATCAAATGCTGTGCTTACTCTTTCCTGCTTACCTCTAAGTATTTTCTCACTAACGGTGTTGTATCCATTTACTTTGGAGAAGTTTGTATTAAACTTACCATTCTTATTCTTGAGGCATGATGAGAGTAGAGTTAGGGGACTCTTCAGAACACTCTTTACCCTATTTGGCTGCTTTCCTGTGTAACCACCTTTCTTTTCTTGAGTTTTACACACTGCCTGAAATTCTTTTTGCCATGAACAAGTCACCCAGAACCTACCACCTATGTATAATCATGAAATGTTTATTCCAGCATCTTCCTTTTTCACCAACTTTAATTTAAGACTTGTGATTTGGTGTTATGGTGGGAAAGGCACTGGTACTTGAAGTCACCGCTCTAAGCCTGGCTCTTCTATTAGTAACTGCGTGTTCTTAGGCAAGTCACTTAATCTCATCTGTAAATTGAAATTATCTTCAAGGTCCTGCTGTGAGAATCTATGAAATGGTTACTTTTCAAGGGGAAACCTTTGGAGAATAGGGCAATTGTTAAGTTGTTCATGTCTTACTGTGCATTAATTATAGATGATTTCTTTTAGAGG